AAAAAAAGAAGTTCCAGGTAAGGAAGAGATTCAAATTTCTTTAAGAAGATGCCCAGAGGTGTAGTTGATGTCCTTCATTCATTCAGTTAATTGATGATTAGTACCAGCAAGTTCAGAGGCTGTAAGACAAAGTTCATCCCTAGCCGGTGGTGAGTGCTGTTTAATCATGGCTTCTCTCCAGAGGGCTCTCTCCATTGACTGTGTCAGGAACTGGGGATGTGCCTGGTCTCAGGAAGTTTAGATTTTCGTTGACATGACAGTATGTGAGTGTGCTTGACCGTGTGCAATCAGGAGGATGCCAGTGGCTGTGTGGGAGTTTGTGAATGAAGAAGTGAATGGACCGGCTGTGAGGAGCTCCCCGGGCCCTCCCCATCAGGATCTGCCCATTCCCTGGGCTCTCTAGAGTTTACCGTCCATGGCTCCCTCCGGACTTGATTTTCGACAGTCCCAGGTTCAGGGGAGATGCTGTTTCTGGTGGCAGGAAGCGGTGCTGGGTGTGGGCTGCGGGTGGCCTTGGCCCGGGAGCGCTGCTGCTGCTGCTCACGGCTCCCCTGTCCCCCCAGTGCTGTTCCTGTACATCCTGCTGGGCACCGTCATGACCCTGGTGGGCACACTGGCAGCAGGCGCCCTCATCTACCTGTACTGGATTGAAATGATGTTGCTGTGCCGGAGCTGCCGGAGCCAGGACGAGACTCTCAGGGGTAAGCTGGCCCCAACCTGCCACCTGACATTCCCTGGGAAACAAGTTGGACCAAGACCTTAGAAAAGTGCCACCACCACCCATTGGCTCCGTGCCCTCGGAGTTATCTTAGGGAACAATTCCAGATGCCTCCCGCCAGCCGGTACAGCGCATGAGGGACACTCCGTGGCTTCTTCCAGATCTGGTGGCCTCACACCAGGGAAGGCTGGAGAGACGTTTTGTTTTTTCATTCGCTGCACCCGGAGTCTCGTAGATGATGCTATCGTGGGGCTTGATAATCCTCTCTCTGCTAACCAACCTAAGACAAGGTGGCAAATCACATCTTTGTGCCTCGGTTTCTTCATCTATAAAATAGAACAGCAGTAGCACCCATCAGAAAGGATGCTGGGAGAGCCTGTGAAGGCACAGCACGCATTTACAGTGAAACCTTCACAAATAGGAAACCTCAGCACCTGCTAGCAATTTTTTTTTCTAGAAGGCAGAGCAGTGTTATACATGCCTGTTATGTGTATTAGCTACGTTAATTATCTTATGAGCCAAGCAGGGAAAGATAAAGTCTGTGTCCAAAATTGAACCTAGAGATGTAGAGATCTATAAGCTGAAAGTGTTTTTGAGATGTATTTTTAAAAAATCATCTTTTTGAATGGAGCAAATTATTTAATCAATGGCTTAATTGTTTCCTTAGGCCATTTCGTACTGTTTTGCTAAAGTTTTACCTGGCTTATGATTCAAGAGCTTGTGTGCAAGAGTCACTCAACGGTGAAACTTTTCAGCGTGTTTTTTCTCTTTCTGGTTTGCAAAGACCACTTTTTAACTAATCAGATCTGGAGGCAGAGAGGAATTTTTCAAGCACAGTGATGCAGCGCCCTCTGCTGGCCAACATGATATTTTCAACAAAATGAATACTCAGAAGCTAATGCCGAATATTCAAAACATACTCATAAAACATAACATTTGTGGAGGATCTAGGAGGTCAGATAACACTCCACTCTATAATTTTATTAATATGAAATTTAGTTTCCATATTATATGAAAATCCTGGTGTGCTGATGTTTCACCATGGATATAGAAGAAATAGAGACAATTATGATGCACGACACCTTGAAACTGTGTAGCGCTTACTGGCCAGCTACACCTCAGAGCATCCTCCTTCCCACCTGGACCACGAGGTGCATGACAGATTAGCTTCCTGGACCTTGGCTCTTTGGCATTCCCCTCGCTTGACTCTTGGCCTTTCCTTTTCTGAGGCCTCTTAGATTCACATTGAGCAGGTATTCCGCCAAACTATTTTGTAACAATACTGCTTGACAGGAGTTGTGAGGTGCTGGGATATAAACCAGTTGTGTCCCATTCCAAAGCCTGGTGAGTTAGCTTTTGGAATTTTCTACTTCATTCAGTCAGTTCTTCAGTAGGTATCAGCAATCAATGTGCATTTGTAATAACATAGTCAACAGAGGCAGAAGAGACCTCTAAAATATCCTGAGACAAGTTCTATTAGTTTACTTTCCCATTTAGAAGAGAGTGGAATGGACACAAACCAGACACCAAGCACATCAGATGTATTTTCTCATGCAATCCATATCAGCCTATGAGGAGTCATAGCACCCTCTTTTTGCATATGAAGATTTAAATATAAGTACAGTCATGCATCATTTTACGACAGATTCACATTCACAAATGCACCCCTAGGCAATTTTGTCATTGTACAATCATTGTAGAATGTGCTTACATAAATGTAGAGGATATATCCTACCACACACCTCAGGTGTCAGTTACATGGCGTGTGTGTGTGTGTGTGTGTGTGTGTGTATGTGGTAGCCTGTGATTTCAAGGGTCATGGTGAACAAAACAACATGAGATTAATCAAGCACAAGAGAAAATAATGTGATCAAGAGACCAGGCAAACAACAGGTCTGTGTGTCTGCTGCTCCTGTAACACGGCATGGTTTTTTATAGTCAGTTTTTTACAAGTAGAAGTAGCACTCCAAAATAACTACAAAAGCATAGTACATTAACACATCAACCACTGGCATGATTGTGTACCGAGTGTGACATACTGTACATTACTGTATGGGCTGCACTTTGACATATCAGGCAAGACAGCAGGTTTGTGTACCCCACCACCGCCACAGACACACAAGTAATGCTCTGCCCCATGATGCTGTGGAGGCTACAACATTGCAGGTGATGGGAGTTCTTCAGCTTTAATTTTATGTGCATGCAGTTTGTCACTGAAGTGTCCCTGGGGGGGTGCATGGCTGTTAATGTGACATGAACTCTCTAAGGGGCTATTTTTTTCTCCTAGGGAAGCAATGGGCTGGGTCTTGGCAGTGTCTCCCTGACTGGCTATTATCACGCTGTGATGAACCAGACTTCTCTTTGATGTGTACCTAAGGAGACGGAGACAGTGCAGAGGCAGAGAAAGCTCATCGGCCCTCCTGAGTGCATGAGATTTAATCACAGGAGGCCCCAGCTGTTTGATCTGCCCCCAGCCCAGTAGTGCTTCATGAATTAGAATTCAATTTGGGCTGGACAATCCATACCACTCAACAGTGTGATTTTGAAATGGATGCAGCTCCTGGGTCTTATGATTAGTAGTATTTCTTAAAAAACCATGTTGTAAGGATTTCCCGTTTGCTCCAAGCCTCTGTTTGTGGTACCCTGATGGTAAAACAATGTCAACGGCTTATGTTTTCCATTGTTTCTCTTCTTCAGATAAAAAGGAATTCGATGCTTTCGTATCCTACGCAAAACGGAGCTCTTTGGAGAGTGAAGCCTCTTCAGCTCCGAGTGAGGAGCACTTGGCCTTGAATCTGTTTCCTGAAGTTCTGGAAAACAAATATGGATACACTTTGTGCTTGCTTGAGAGAGATGTGGTCCCCGGAGGAGGTATGTCTGGGGGCGGGGGGGGGGAACCACCTTAGGGGAAAAAGGGCACTTCAATACGACTCTCTGTCATTCTTTCTGTTGGGACATATCTTCTGGCTGGTTTCATGGACCTAGATCATCTTGGGTAACCACCTAGAAGAACGTGTTCCAGAGACATGCTCCCTCATCAAAAGAAGCCATTTTCAGAAGGATGCTAGGGAGGCTACCCAGTACAAAGATGTCTTTCCTGGATCCTTAGTGGGACGTCATCTCTGTCATTCCAAACACGTAGTCCTCCTGTTTCTGGAACTCTATCTCAGGAGATGTTCCAGCATCCTGCCTCACTCATCTTCTGGGACATCCCAAGACTCTGGGTAGCCCATAAGCTTTGTTTCTAGAGGAAGTGACGGTTTGGGCAAACAGAGTGCAAGGAGAGAGGTATGCAGTGGAGAGTCAATAGATAGTAGAGTATATTTTGGAAGCCAATAGAGATGACGTAATAAAAGTGCCAGAGTGGGCCATGTCTCCCTTCTCTGTAGGAGCTCCCTGGATGGATCTGTGAGGCTAAGGTTACTGTGACTCAAGGATTAACTTCATCCATGGCAAATCATTGAACTCTTTATTTCCAGTGTATGCGGAAGACGTCGTGAGCATTATTAAGAAGAGCAGAAGAGGAATATTTATCTTGAGCCCCAACTATGTCAATGGACCCAGTGTCTTTGAACTCCAAGCAGCGGTGAATCTTGCCTTGGATGATCAAACGCTGAAACTAATTTTAATTGAGTTCCGTTCCTTCCAAGAGCCAGAGTCTCTACCTCATCTTGTGAAAAAAGCTCTCAGGGTTTTACCCACAGTCACTTGGAAAGGCTTCAAATCAGTTCGTCCCAATTCCAGATTCTGGACACAAATGCGCTACCACATGCCTGTTAAAAACTCCAGAAGATTCAAATAGAACCAGCTCAGAATTAGCTCAAGGATTTTTTCCCCCCACACTGGAAAAGATTCCACAGAACAGAAACCACTGGGAGGAGCTGCAGCCTAGGGATGGCAAACCCAGCTAGAAACCCCTTCCTCGCCAGCCTCGGGGAGGAGAGATGTGCATGGGCAGAAGGTTAACAGAGATTTACTAATGGAAAGTTGAGTGTCTTTCTGCCGGCCCCAAGCAAACTGGACAGGCACTGGAGGGAGACGGAGTCTGTGGACTAGAGCCATTGCTCCTCTGGACTGGACAGGGGGAGACTGATTTGTCACGCACACCCCCAAGGTTTTCCAACACTTCTGAGCTGAATCAGCAGATGCAGCTGCTTCTGCTCTGTGGCTAGGGACTGTCCTAGCTGCTGTGGACCTATGAATTCACGTCATTTGCAATCAAATAAATATATTTATTTATTAGACATGAGTAATTTAATATCTGCCTAAAGCCTTTTCTGTTCCACGTTCTCCCATCAAGTCTGCAGCACAGGAAGTGAAAATAAAGAGATAAAAGGGACACAGGGTGGGCAGGGGTATAGTCCGTCTCTGCTGGGAGCTGGGAGATGGTGGGAAATGACCCCTCTGGGCACGTGGACTACAGGTGCATATAGGTTTGCAATGGGATGACATTCTGAAAGACTCAGTGTGTCGTAAGTCACACACGTGTTTAGTGTGCTGAATCCATTGAACTGCTTAGCTGAGTAGGACAGCACACGGTGGCACATTGGTCAGTTCCCTTGGTGACTTTGTGGCTGGCCCGGGAGCTACACTCACTACTGTTTCCCCACATCTCAGGAGAGGGTCAGACTGCATATCGCTGGCTCCCAAGAAGATCCAAATTCCAAATTCAAAGTTTAGGTACTACAGAATAGATACCACTATTGCAACTTCAGAAAGAAAAAAAAATCACACTGACTATGGAGGAAGGAGTCCCTTCCTTTGGGCTGACACAATCTATGTCAAGATACAGGCTTGGGGACAGAGTGGTGCTAACTTGAGTTCCTCCGTGTCTCATTGACCAGAGACCCTTAGACTGAGCTTCAAGTTTATGACAGTCCCCCGGGCCACTGGAAGCAGGGATCAACTGGGCCAAGATGACTCCCCAGGGAGGAGACGAGGAGTACACTAACACTTGTGTACAAACTAGAAAGGCAGGGACAGGAGTCCGCGGTCACACCCAGCCTGGGAAATTAGCGGACACACCATGTGAAAGTCAGGAGAATGGAGCTGAGACAGAGCTTCAGGGTGAGTTACTGCTGAGGTCCACAGCCTTCTGCATATCCTGACCTCGTGGTAACCAAGTGATATGCTGAGGGCCAAGTCCTTCTTCCTGATGGACAAGGCAAGTTCATTTTCTTTGCAAGAGTTCAACCTGCAGTTAAAATAATGTTCTGGTCACATACAGACGTAAAACCATCTCCTGCTGTCTTTCTTGATGGAGGGAATGATTCATCGTTTGGATAATTAAGCCAAACAGCTCCTGACTGATTCACATGGAGTGTGTCACATCCACTGGTCTGAATGGGGTCCAAGTGCAGAGCGGGTAAGACCTTGTCATCTGGCCACTTGGTGCCTGTGTGAGATGCTTTTCTGATCTTTCTTTACGGAGGCACCCACATCATAAAAACCACTGTGGCTCTGGCACCAAGCAACATCCTTGTTGGGAATTTCGGTGATAAAGTTAAAGAGGAGAAAAAGGGTATAAATTATGCCTGGAGGAAGTCTCTTGTGGGAAGGATCATTGTGGGGTCTCAGCAGGGAGGAACCCACATTGTCATGGGGCTTGCTGTGCCATCCTCTCTCTGAGACCTCAGACTTAGAATGCTTTCTTTTTGGCTGGTGCATCCAAATTTATGTTTTTTTAAAAAAAATATGAAAAAAAGTAAGAAAAAGAAAAGATTCCCCTGTGACGAAGTTCCCAATGGTCCAGAGTTCTGTCTTCAGCGTTACAGAAAAAGCCTCAGACTCGTACCTACACAAAAAGAAAAATCCCTAACTCTGATATTTATACAAAGCACTCTTTCTAGGTTAGTAAGTATACTGAAGAGGAAAAAAAATTAGCATTTAGGACAAAAGGTTATTTATATTTCCTATATGCAAACCAACCAAAACAAAGGAAACAACCAAAATATATTTTCTACACATAACAGACTATAATCCAGCAGCTGGACTCAGTGGAATACAATCAGAAAAGAGTATTATTTTCTCACCACATCTTCTAAATAAGAGGCCACAGGTCTGGTTCCTGTTATCCAAGGGTAATTGTCCAGAGTTCTTTCTTTCACTCTGAAGATGTGTCCCAGTTAGGAGGGTGAGGGCCCTACCTCCAACTCAGCCGAGGTCACTCCTTACTGACTCTGTGATACCTTAGGTGAGTTTCACCGCCTTTCTGGTCTCTGTTGGCCGTGAATACTGATATTTAACATTGATATTATTTCCGGGTGGTCATATTGGGCAAGATGGAGTAAATACATGCCACTCTGATCCTCTCGCTTTAGCCATAAAACCCGGGAGAATGCATAGGAAAAACAATTTGAGGATTCCAAAGAGTCGATAGAAGCAAACAGATTGAAGAAGACAAGAATTCAAAGTTTTATGGTTTTATTTCTACCTGCTATCTCCTGACTTAACTTAGTCTGAAGCCCACAGGGGGTGTTAAGGATGATAGAGAGAGCTGCAGAAGACCTCTAGGCCTGGCTTGAAGACTGCTCAGGGTTTCCTGGTCTTTCTTCCTTTGTATCACTCCCGCTCCCCCTGTTCTTTCATTGCCCAGATGCTAGGTCCCGCTGTGGTGGCAGCAACAGGACCAGCACAAGACAGGAAGATGGGCCCTCAAGAGCCTACATCTCTCAGGCAGGGAGAAGGACCACTTTGGTACAAGGTGCTGTGGTCCCAAGAGGGTGTGGCAAACTATATTGAATTTTGTTTTCTGTCTATCCCTGTGCCATTTGACTGTGCATCCCAAAGCAGGGTAAGGAAGCCCCAGCACTCTGGCCCAAGAGCTGAGGGGAGATCTACGCCATGAGAAAGCACCGTGGAGACTACAGACAGAGAAGTGCAGGATAGTGAACCCAGAAAGCTGTTCAAGATCTCCTAGCTCATCACCAAGCTGCACCTAGGTGCATGTGACCCTAAATGGAATATCATCAACCTCCAGAATTGAATTATGGGATTGACCACTTCCTGAGCTCCAGATGAGCCATGGAAAGGTGTGTGCAGAGGGGGTGGGTCCAAACAGAGCCGAAAGGCAATAGAATTGAACTGACTCCATACTCAGAGGAGGCTTGAAGTTTAGGGGCCTTTTCCAACTGGGTCAATTGTCTGCTAAAATAAAAATGGTTCTACAAAGGTTGGTGTTGGGAAACACTGAAAACATGATATGGTCTGTTGAAAGTTAAAAAACATTAATATTTTCTGGGAGGATATTTAATGTAGGTAGATGTAGTACATAAGATAGCTACAAAATGAAGGAGGGAAGATGGGAAACTGTATGTTGTTAAGATATCTAGATATCACATTTTTATAAAGAGACAAATCTTAAAATCCATAGGCACCTAACAACAGTATTTCAAAATACATGAAATAAAAATCGACAGGGTTGAAATTCCACAGTTATAATTGGGACTTCATGCAACATTCTTCTCTCAAATATTGATTAAACTAGTAAACAAAAATTCAGCAGGTATGTAGAAGAGCAGAACACCACCACTTAATTGGTGTTTTCCTGGATCAACTTGACAATTACAGAACTCTCCTACCCAACACCAGCAGAATATACTTTCTTTTAATGAACACATAGAAAAGATGCTAAGACAGGCCATCTCCTAAACCGTAAAACAAACATAACAAGAGTTAAAAACTTGAAATTATACAAAATATGTATTCTATTCATAAAGGAGTTAAATTAGAAATTATTAACAGAAAATGACAAGAAAATCTTAAAACACTAGGAAACTGAACAATGCATTTCCAAATCAATCCACAGATAAAAGAGGAAGTCTCAAGAGAAATCAATTAAACCTTTCAAATAAAAATGAAAATATGATGTATCAAAGTTTGCCAGATGAGACTGAATGTAAAACATGCTTAGGGGGGAATGTATATTATTAAGTATGGGCTTATATTAGAAAAGGAAAATACCTCAAACTTGATAACCTAAACTTCCACCATAGAATGTAAAAAAAAAGGAAATGATATGAGTAGAAATTAATTCCACTGAAACCAGAAAACAATAGAGAAAATCAATAGCATCAAAGCTATTTTTTGTTTGTTTTTACATTACAGAGGGTTAAACCTAGACCCTTATATACACCAGGCTAGCACTCTATCACTGAGCTACATTCCCAATACCCAAAAGATGGTTTTTGAAAAGATCAGTAAAAATGATAACCACTAGCCAGACGGATCAAGATTAAAAAAGAAAAGAAAAGAAAAAAATCTTGGCCGGGGGGTGGTGGGGGGGCGGGGGGTGGACACAAAGGATCAGTATCAGGAGTGAAAGAAGAAATCTCACTTCAGACTCCACACATGTTAAAAGCACGATAAAACCACTATAGATACCGTACAGACAGAGTATAAATGAAATCAACAAATTCCCCAAAGGTATAAAAATTCTCACAAGCTATGAAGACTCAGCCAAGCTGAAACAGATAACCTAGATTAGTCAAAACTATTACAGAAATGAAATTCCTACTTTAAAGTTTCCCAAACAGAAATCTCTAGACCTCAATGATTTACTGCCTAATTCTACCATTTAAAGAAAGGAAAAGGAAAAAAAAACCCCACAATTTCTATAAAACTTCTTCCAGAAAACCGAAAAGGAAAGAAAGTTTTCGAAGCTCATTTTTCTAATACCAAAACCAAACATCAAAAGTATAAGAGAACGACAAATCATCATTCTTCATGAACACTGACAAAAATATTCAAGAAAACTGCAGCTAAAAATACACCCTAACTAAGTGGAGTTTATCCTGGGTATGGAACGTTGGTTTAAAATTAAAAATCTTTCAATACAATCCTCCTTGTTAACAGTTCACGAAAGAAAAACCATAGGATCATAGAAAGTAATTCCAAGATAGCACTTGATAAAATTTACCATTCTTTCATTATAAAACTGTTCAGCAAACTAAACATAGAAGATAACTTTCTCATCATGATAAATTGCTCTAAAAACAAACAGAAGCAAATAGTACAGCTTAATGGTGAAAGACGATATACTTTACAATAATGAGAACAAGGCAAGAATATTCACTCTCAGAATCATATGCAACTTTGTATTGAAAGTCTTCATCAATGCAATAAGACAAGAAAAAATAAATAAAATGCATGCAGTTTGGAAAGAAAGAAATAAGATTGTCCTTATTCCTGAAACCTGATTT